TATACTTAAATATTTTCTTTTGAAATTAAGATATTAAAACTTAGATAATATAAAAATTGGAATTATAAACTATGTTTTGATGCCAAATTAATTAACATATATCGATGATAAAGTAGTTTAATTATCTTCTGATTGTACCACTGTAAAAAATTGTAACATATGCAATTTAACCCTCCCATATCTGGTTAAAGAATATTATTTAAATGGTGGCACTGACTATTTTGTCATAAAACTACTGTTCATGCTAAGATGTCAAGATCTGTCATTTATCATATTTTTAAATTTTAATGCCACTTATTTTGTAATGCAAATGTATAACGTAAAAAATAACCATTAGAGCTAGAGCTGGTGATTATTTGTATTTGTTAATCAATTAATCAAAAGTCCTATTAATCTATTACATTCAAATAATCAATCAGTACAGCATTCCCCAAACCATCATATGTACAAGAAAGAAAAACAAATTGGTGGTGGTGCTACTAGACACCCACCTTCCCTGTAGTCAGCAGCATAAAAAAGAAGCAAAAGCTGGTGGAAGGTACTGTCAGCCAATTGCCTTCCTTCAATTCAGCAGTTCAAGATTAGTGATAGTAGTGTGTGTAAAATCCCAATGTCAGTTATGCAAGAAGTAGCTATTGTGTGAAGAGAGGTTGGTGGATCATTTCAGAAATTATATTTTCTAATGAATTCAGGACACTTTTTTTTTAGTTATGGAAGAAAGAATGTTTTGCTAAGTAATTTTCTCTGCAGTACCTTTAGCAAGAAAATATTTAGTCAAAGGAACACAGGCGTGTCATATGACATACAAAAAAGTGTCATTTTATATGTGAGCTATGGACAAGATTAATAGCAGTTTTGGTCATTTTTGTGTTTTTCAACATTGGTGGGATAAGTTGGATATCAATATGTAATAATGAAGTTCGAGAAGTGGGAAAAATTTCCATTCATAACCTTTGTCCCTCTGCTCTTGTGTAAGAAAAAAAGCTTATGAAATTTCATAAGAAAACTCTTGGCCCTAATAAATGTTGTCCTTAAACTTTGAGAAAGATGTCAAGAGTTATAAGTTAAACATTATCTTTCAGAATATATTATATATTGGCAAGATTTCTGATGACTGGGAAATTTCTAACCTGATATCCACTTTCTAGAAAGAGTAAGTCAAGAGAAAACCAAAAAAATTACAAGGCTATTAGTTTGACTTCCACTAACAACAGTGTTAAAATCTTTTGCCATATGTCATACAATAAAATGCCTTAAAATATGGCAACCATATGAACCATATTTAGCACTATTTTACAAAATCATTTTTCTGGCCTCGCCAACTTTTTAAGTTTAATTCATTGGTGCTGTGTAGCTTGAAAAAAAGTTTAAGATACTACATGTCTCATTAATTAGTAAATTAAATTTTTATGAAATTGGTATAAAAACTTTAAAAGTGAATAGAAAATACTGATTTTAAATGCATAAGCTTGTGATATATAAAAATATTTTTTGAAAAGAAAAAATTTTGAAAGCTGGGAAACATCAATTCCATGAAAAAAGTATCTCTTAGCTTTTCAAAGACTTGCACAATCAGTATGAATGGATAAGGATTTTGAAAATGAATTTTATGAAGTCCAAAGTAATACATTTGGAGAATGTAAGTTTTATAAGAGCTTACTTCTTGTATCCTCAAGAATAATACTGGTCTTATTAAGCAAGAAAATGATATAAGCAATATTCAAAAAAATGATTTCAACCATTAGTCAAGTGTTCAGTGTGGAACAACAGGAAAAAAAAATATAGAATGTATTTGTAAAAATTCTGAATTTAAGAGTAAGGATTTAGAAACACTGCACTACACTAGTGGGACTAAGTCATGATTTTCTTTGTCTTTAGAAGAGATATAGATTTACTGAAAGTATGCCAAAGGGAGGAACTACTAGAACAATACCAAATTATAAATAAATTGTGTAAATATTACGTATAAATATAATTAACCACAGGAACTTCAAATTCCAACAAACTGATAAACAAAATGGTTATTAAATACAGACTGACTGAACATTTTGCATTTTCTGTTGAGAGACATCTTGTCTTGAATATTTTTTACAACACTGAAATTACTTTTCATTTCATACCATGTTTTATTTCAGTACTTCATATCAAATTCAAACACTTAACAATCTTCAATATATTATTAATTTAATGCAACAATTTATCTAGATATTTTGCTGTTTAAAGAGAAAACTTTAAAACTGTCAAAATATTTATATAACATTATATTTTATCATTTCTTTCGATAACAATAACTTATATACTACTAAATCAACCTCTCTTACTACTGACTCTTTGAATAAATTTTTCATAAGTTATTAGAGTGTAATTGTCTAGACTTGTGTTTACCATGTAGATACATGATCAATGTGATGTTATTATGCAGTTAATGTAACAACTATATTTTTAGATTATTATCATTATACTTTTGTACATATCCTTGATGCCAGCTTTGAAGTCTTCATATTTGCTTCTCAGGTTACTTCACCCTCACTTCTTTATTTCATGGAACATCTTCCATATGCAAGGACAGATAAATTTTATGTCTTAAACTTTTCAACATTATGGTCTTCTACTCATTAATATAATCAAGATCAAAATATGATTTAAAAGAAAAAAAAGACAGTGGAATTACTCCAGATTTGTTTATGAGTCAATATAAAAGGAGTGTGAATGTAGCACTGAAAGTATAGTGAAAGCGTATTGAATTTAAAAGGCCCTAGCAAAAGTGGAAATGTTAAAAGGAAAAAAAGAAAAGGATAAAATTGTGTCTTTAAACCACCTATGAAATATTTTGCATTATATTTCGTTATTCAAGCCATCCTCACATTCTCACCTGTGTTTGGCTCTCATGAAACCATGGCCAAAGTGAGCAGAGTACTTGCTGTTGATCATTCAGCCCTTCAATACACTTTAATATAAAATAAATTTAGGCTTATATAATTAATCACGTTCACTGCTTTTTGCTTTTATCCTTTGCTGTCTTAAAATATTCTTGGTAAATTTTTAGACTAAGAGCATTTTTCATTTTATACTATTACAAGTTGTAATGAAAAATATAATAAATGTTAAGAAAAATGTTTTTATCATCATCTATTACCTTATGGTGGCTAATAAATAACTCCAGTATAGCTTCAAACATTCTTATATTTTTAACAAAATGACCTCTTAACCCTGTCAATTCATTTATTTTAATTTCTTTTTTTTTGTCATAAAGATATTAATAATAATTAACAGTCTTAGACAAACAACACATGGGAGCAGAAATTGTTTCAATGAAGAAAAAGTTAAGTCATTCTAACTTACCTTTAAAGTTTAACTTTTAATGTCATTGTAGCTGGCAATAAAAAGTTTTATTAAACTAAAGGCAAAATTTGCCATGGCAATGGTATGTATATATCTACATTATATTTATACTAACTTACACTCAGTTATAGTGATAATTTCCAAATACACTTGAACTTGAAATATGGAAAATTACCATTATATATATAAGTATATATTACTTAATCTCAATGGAATAATCTTATTCACACAAAACATATATATCACTATCAGGAAGTTTACTTAAATTTAACCAAACATTAATCAAAGCTCATTTTTAGCTAAACTATTTGTTGGGAACTTCTTACCTGTTCCTCACCAACTTCACTAGCACTGGCAGTAGTTAGATGACTGACGCTTTTACTTCTTTCTCCAATGTAAAAATAAGGTCTGGATTCGTTCATTCTCAACCTACGAATAGGCCTATATTATCATTACACGTTTTCGTTCTAATTAAATAAGACACAAGTAATGAAGTATCAGAGACTGGCGCAAATAATAAAAATAAAAGTAGAAAAAATAGTTGTGTTGCCAGAAACCTAAATCTCGGTTGCTGTACCTACTCAGTAGTTACTGCTAGTGTTACTACTATGACTTAAGTAAAGTGAATCCTTGACAGTTACAACTACAAGCATATAAATACATAGTCTCATTTTCTGAAATTACAAAATATAATAATAACTTTCTATGTTCTTCTACCGAAAACAATATATATCTAGACCATCCACATAAGATTTACAGTTTCCAAGTGCATTATTACCATACCGCAAATGACGGAATTACACTCAACAGACTGGTGGTTACACTGCGACGAATCAAACTCAAAAGAATCACCGGTACTGCGGTAGATCAAACTTACAAGTAAAAAATATTCAAAGCGTTTATAAACAGATTCATAATTTTTATCTAAAATTTAAACTTATAAACAAGTAAAATTAAAAAAACTCTAAGTATTTTATGACAAGGAACCCATTTCGAGACAGTAAAGTTTTAAGACAGATTGATTGGGTAATGTACCCAATGATGACAAAACCTTGTCGAAACGTTTACCTTTGTTAAATTTGTAATAAAGGTTTCTTCGTTATGTATTCAAGCCGTCTTCAAACTTTAATTATAACTATTGTTATAACTGGAGTACCCGTCCATTGGACGGATGGTATTTAAATTTATGATTAATAAAAAGTTATCTCAGGACATGAAAAGTTGCTTCCCTTATTGTAGCCCCCAATGGCACAACGCCATGTTTGTGGACTTACAACGCTTAAAAACTGGGTTTCGATACCCGTGGTAGGCAGAGCACAGATAGCCCTTTGTGTAGCTTTGTGCTTAACTATAAATAAACAAACCTTATATGTAATTCTAAAAAAGCGTAAAAACGCTCATAAAAACTGCAAAACACAAAATGTAAAACCGCAAGTATCTCCGCATCGACCCAACAAACCTTCATGCCAAATTTGGTGAAGGTCCATCAACAGAAGGTGAATTAGTGGTAAAAAACGAAAACGCCCATAAAAACCGCAAAATGCAAAACTGAAACATTTTATATAGCCCCGCATGGACCTAATGAGCCTCACACCAATTTTGGTGAAGATCCGTCCACACCCTGCGAAGTAGTTACATGGACAGACACCAGACCGTACTATTAAACTGTTACAACAGCGGAAGTCACGTGACGCTGGAAGCATGCGCGCTGGAGTTTCTAGAAGGATCATGACTGTTCCTGGCAACTCTAATCTTTTCTATAATTCACAACGATTCACGCACTTTACTTATGGTCACTACTGTTCGCTTGACTCAATTATCTGTCTCTATATCTGTCTATCTGCAATTATTATCTCCGCTTTATTTGCCGGGCTTATATGTTAGAATAGAGGGCGTCTGGCAAACACTCGAGCCTTCATGATCCTTCTAGAAACTCATCACATGTTACCAGCGTCACTTGACTTCAGCTGCCGTAGCACTGCCCCTTCTTTAGTATTGTTCGGGACGAACAATAGCCACTTACATTAAACCAATAGATAATTAACAATAACTTGATTAAATGTACATAATTTACAAACACAAAATTAAAATTCAACAAAGTCCCTTAATTTTACGGGATGTATTTTCTTCTATACTGGTCTCCATCTCGTTGGCTTCTGCTTCACATGGGGTTCATCTGCTCCATCAGGACATGTCCTATTATCGGTAACAGTCACGTCAGTTGTAGAAACTTCA